CAGGGCGCGGCCGGCCTCAGCACAGAAATTTATTGAACAAGCTTTGTAAGAACCTAAGCATATGCACCGAGGAACCCAGAGCAGGCAGCTTTTTAAAACAGCAAATATCCCTGGCAATACAGATTGCGAACGCAGCTTCCGTACTCGGAACAATAAATGACAAAATAAATTTCGACGAAATTTTTTTTATTTTTGTGACACATGTATTCTATATTTTCTCGTGTCTTTATTCAACACTTGTCATCTTCTTTTATCATTATCACTTCCACATCTAGAAGATTCTAAACGAGCGGTTTGAATGGGATGCATCAAAAACGGCGAGATCATATTCTTAACGAGTACCGTTGACTTAATAAACAGTTTAATAAATGAAATAGAAAACCCTGTGTGAATGGACCCAATTTATTTTAACGGTTGCGTTAAATATCTTGTTTTTTTTCTGTATAGATTTAAGGAAGCTTTTTTTCACGTTCAACAGTCTATTGAAAGCACCGGAGGTGCGAGTCATGCGCTAGTTATTTGTACGCTGCTGGTTCGGAATGTTGCTGAAGATCTATGCTCGTAGACCGCGCACCATTTTTTAGATATCTGAAATAGTAATTTGTAGCCACCCGACCTGAATGTGTGGACAGCACAAATATCCAACCGAGGTTCTGCGGGCCTACCTCAACTCTCTTTTGTTCCTAGAGCCGAAAGTGTTGCTGCCATGTCTGTACAGTAAAAATTTGATTAACTTGGCAGAAATGGATATCAAATTTATTGATGTAGTCAGTGTACTCTTAGGAGTTGCGAAATTGGCTTCGATTATAGCTTTTTGAGTTTTTTTCCGACATGACAGCTTTAATTGTCAATTTTTTCAGTTAACTTATGTTTTTATTTAAATTTCTGATTGATGGTACAACTTTGACTGTTCATGAATTTGAGAATGCGTTAAAATTGTAAATTCAAACAAATTTTTTCGCACATTTTCGTGCATCTTCAGGTTTTAAAAATTCTAAAATGTTCATGAAAAAAGCCGTAGTATGCCGGCGAACTTTTTAAGTTACTTCAAAGTTCTTATATGAATTTCAGTAGTATAGGAGGCATGACCAATTTAGTGAAAACACCTAAGCAGGACTTCGATTAGGATCAAAAATATGCGAACGGCATAAATGCGTGTGCGGAAAAGACGTTACCGAGGATGGTTGGCATGGTCTTTCTTGCCTCAAAAGTGCAGGGAGATTCTCTAGGCATTCAAACCTGAATGCCCTTATAAAGCAGAGTCTATCATCTACTCACATTCCGTCTGTTTTAGAACCACGACACCTCTACAGGACCGATCAGAAGCGACCAGACGGTTTGACGCTCGTTCCATGGGCTGATGGTAAGCAGCTCTTGTGGGATGTAACGGTAGTAGACTCCTTAGCCCCTTGTAGGATTAATGCCGGGTCTGTTTGTAACCCTGGTACGGCTGCCGCTGAAGCGGAAGAGCGAAAAATTGACAAATATAAAGATCTTGTAAATGATGGATATCTTTTTCAACCGCCAGCTTTTGAAATTCAGGGCGCGGCCGGCCCCAGCACAGAAGTTTTTTTGAGCAAGCTTTGTAAGAACCTAAGCATATGCACTGAGGAACCCAGAGCAGGCAGCTTTTTAAAACAGAGAATCTCCCTGGCAATACAGATTGCGAACGCCGCTTGCGTACTCGGAACAATAAATGACAAAATAACTTTCGACGAAATTTTTTACTTGTAACACTTGTATATTATATTATCTCGTGTCGAGTTGCGTGTTCTTATTGAAGAAGCGTAACCCGTATCGATTTTAAATGAAAAGGACTTAAACACTTGACATCTTCTTTTATCATTATCACTTCCATATCTAGAAAATTCCTAGGATTTTGACTGGAATACATGATGAAGGGACTCATGACTGTAACCTCGGTTACTATGATACTTTTGACCTTCTGATTACCTTTAAAAAAAGTTGACTCGGTACTCGTTTAGAAGTATGGTCCGGCTCCCGTATAAATCATCATTTTGAAGTGTGGTCGCGTAAAACTACCAATGGTCACATAAAAAAGTCAGACAAAAAATTATTTGTAGTTTCTAAGTTTTGCCAATGAATTGATGATTTTGATAATTCCATTTTAAAGAGAAATTGAAAGGCAAGTCTATCGAAATGCTTTCAAGTTTTCCTTTTGTCTTCACCCACTTGAAGTTATCTAGGTATTTTTCGAGTGGTTTTCTGAGTATTTTTAAATATTCAAACTTCTAAACGAGCGGTTTGAATGGGATGCATCAAAAACGGCGAGACCATACTTCTTAACGAGTACCGTTGACTTAATAAACAGTTTAATAAATGAAATAGAAAACCCTGTGTGAATGGACCCAATTTATTTTAACGGTTGCGTTAAATATCTTGTTTTTTTTTTGTATAGATTTAAGGAAGCTTTTTTTCACGTTCAACAGTCTATTGAAAGCACCGGAGGTGCGAGTCATGCGCTAGTTATTTGTACGCTGCTGGTTCGGAATGTTGCTGAAGATCTATGCTCGTAGACCGCGCACCATTTTTTAGATATCTGAAATAGTAATTTGTAGCCACCCGACCTGAATGAGTGGACAGCACAAATATCCAACCGAGGTTCTGCGGGCCTACCTCAACTCTCTTTTGTTCCTAGAGCCGAAAGTGTTGCTGCCATGTCTGTACAGTAAAAATTTGATTACATTGGCAGAAAAGGATATCATAAGTGGTGTATCAAATAGCAGCGTTGAACAAATGGACAAACTTTTAAGTCTTCTACTTAAAAATTTAGACAGGATGCAGAAAAGTAACGATACTAAAGGATATCTTCACTTGTTCGCGAGTCTGCTGCGCATCATTGCGAAAGATATGCTTCACACACAATTGGCTGAGCGTATGCTACAGTTTCAGCAAACTGGATCTGCCGACGGCATTAAAGATGTCGCTCAGACTCGAGCCGCACTGGGAAACTTCGATTTATCGTCTTTGAATTTTTTCGCTAGTAGCGATGAAACTGATACTGCTGATGCTGAAGTCTTAGACTTTCTGACAGGAGACCATCAGTTACCTCTGTATCATTATTACCCGCTAAACCCTTCCAAGGGAGGAAAGAGTGGTTATGTTCTTATCATTGATATAAGAGACTACTCAAGTTTTCTTCGAATGTCCAGAACGGACAAAGATAGTCACTTAATTCAGTTATCTTTGCAGCGACTGAACTACAAAACCTCTGTTGAGACTGATTTAACTGCTCAAAGTTTCGCGAAGACATTAGAATGGCATCTTGCGAAATGTGAAGAGGAACATATGGCTAACTTTATACTTTTTGTTCTGGCGTTTGGTGACGAAAATGACTTAGTTTGTGGCGTAGATGGTCAAGCTGTGAGCTTATCATTCATGAGGCGTAAAGTCCAGGATTGTGTGTATCTACAGGGACGTCCTAAACTCTTCTTCTTCTTGTCTTCGCGTGGTACGAGACCCGAATTGAAAGTAAACACCACAGTAAGCGCTGATGCAAGCTCTCTGTCAATGCACAAAAAAGACAAGAAACAAACATTTCATGAATCCACAAGTAGTGGCGATACAAAAATATCGGAAGTTTCTAAAACTGATCATCTGCCTGGATCTAGCTTAGACAAGTGTCAATCGGTTCCAAAGAGCGGTGACTGTTTTGTATGCTACGCTTGTCAGAGACATTGTACAGTTTTCGGACTGCGTGACAAAGGATCTTGGTTCGCGAATGTTTTATGCGGGTTGCTGTTGCAGCATGCGTCCAAAATGCACCTGGCAGAATTGATGACGGAAGTTTCTTTCTATGTGTCATCCATGAAACTGTCTAGCGGCTCCAATGAACTAAGTGAAAATCAAACCTTTGGACAGATGCCAGAAATTCTGAGCACGCTGCGAAAGAGATTCTATTTTGTACATCCATCGATATAGATTTTAAAGTAATGTTCATTTATTTATTGAAATTTATGAAACCAAATAGCTTATTTTTAATCTGAAAAGACGAGGATGCTGCAGGTTCCTTGTTGTTTTGTTTTTGTTGTAGATACACCAATACCTGTTTTGAGCTTCCGATTGAATTGGAGAGATCCATTATGTTTGAAAGAGAAATTTTAGATGATATCTGTTCATGGCGAGGTCTTCTGGTCAAGTTTATCACCGCAGTCTCAAACGGCAAAAAGGACAAAGAAGGAGAACCAGTTTTTCCAGTGAAAGCGTCGTGCTTGTATTTTTGCATCCTGTCTTTAGCACGCTCCAGAGTGGGGTTAGAAAGTAGACTGTAGAACCCATTCTAATGGCAAGTTTTGAGCGTTTTGATAACTGAGTGTGACTACATGCCACGTTTAAACAGCCAGTTTTTAGTTCGTGGGGAGAACGGAGGGAAACATGCCGTTATGTGAGGTTATGTGATTAGCTGTATATATTTGGCAGCTTCCTTAGGGTTCTCCCACAAGCTCTCGAGCTGCATAGTTCAGGGCACTCCTTCTAAGTGCCCATAAAGCTTCATTGAGTTTTTCTTTGGAAAACCTTTAGAATATGCGACAAGATATTTGTCTGAGAACATTTTTTACTCTAGCGAGCTTGCGAGCATAGTGTTATATTAAAAATTAATTTTTGTTTCCAATCCAACTCACAGAAAGTAGTGTTGACTTGCTGCATTGTGTTGGCAGTATAATGTAATGAGTTTTCCGCTTTATGAGTGAGAACTACAACTCCAGCCAAAAAAACTTGAGCCCTGTTTTTTTCTTTTTGTTTACATCTCTTTCTCCTTTATTTGGTGTTGTCTCGTCATCTGTCTCGTCTTTGTTTATTGTCACACTAATTATGCAAACAAGTCTTATGAACAGAGGGATATTTGTTGTATGGATCATAGTTACGCATGGTCAAAAAATCATGGCAGGCTTTCTGACGATTTCGGCTTCTATTTTATCGGCATAGTGACCTACATTAGAGTCGTTTCAAGGGATTCAAATATTTATCCAAAGAATACTTTTCAGTTCTGAATATGGCTGACTTTGAAGGACCTCCTGAAATAGTTGGTGATGGCAGCAGCGACGAAGAAGTTCTCGATGACGACAATATGCGGTTTCCCCAGCCAGCCCATGTTGAGAAACAAGAGGGAGGCGATGTGAGCACCAATGGGGAGCGCGATTTTGGAAAGGAAAGTTTTGATACCACACCTACTGAGAACGGAGTGAAACGTGAAGGTGGTCATGATATCAAACAAGAGACGGAATCTTCCGAGGACTTCGCGGACTCATTGGGAAGCTTTCCGGGGGTTGTGAAAGCGGAAGCATCTGCTGATGCTTGTAAAAGCGGTGTCGGTGTTGAGGATGTGAGTGTCAGTGTTGCCTACGAGGACTTACATTTGGTCAGTGTGCGAGATACCCTACGTGAGTGGGGAGTGTCTGATTCTGCAGTTTCTGTGCTGCTCTGGGACAACTTGAAAGTATCTTGTGTATGGAGTGTTTCGACTCTCTGTCTCCTTGTGAGTTTGCAGACAATGTCGTTCTTATCTGTGTTCGCCTACTGCTGCCTGTTGACACTATTTGCAGTTTGGCTGCTCAGAATCTACTCGTCACTTCAGGTCGGTTAAGTTCACCATTTGTGATAGACCAAATCATAGTTACGAAATTTAATAAAGCGAAAAAAATTATTTGTTCATGATTAGCACTTCTTCAACGGTCTGTTTGCTCTGTTCAGAGTTATTCGTTCATTGTCGATGGTTTCATTCAGTTTTTGATTTTTAAGGCTCAACCATTCAAATTGTTTTGAATGTGAAAAATCTGAACTTGATTTGGTGGTCAAGTGATAATTGTGTTGTAATAGCTCTTTAATTCTCCTGTATGAAATAAACTCCCCAGTGTAATGTAATTTATATTGTTTTCTTTAGGCAACCCTGACTTCTTCCGACCAACCTAACTTACACCCTGTGTTGCAACACTGGCTAAACAAGGACATATCTCTAACCAAGGACAAAATAGAGCAACTCGCACACTGGATCAGTCCACCTCTGCAATCGACTCTCCAGCTGTGTCGCAAGGGTGAGCAATTTTTTTAATCAGTTTTCGGAGTCAATTTTCTTGCTTTTAGCGTGCTTTTAGCGTCATTTTTAGCCTGCTATCAGTCCAGCTGTTGAGATGATCAATTTTAGGGGGTTTCTATTAGTTCAGGAAGGACATCATCCATGTAATCGATCATATTAAACTATTACTATGACATGATTAATTTTTACTTCTGTCTGAGGCAACAGAAAATGATTGATGTTTCCCAACAATTTTTCACTCAGTTTTAATGTGTATATGATAGTGCTGATTTAAATTAACCGGACAAAACGAACAACAAATTAAGTTTAAATGCGTTTTTTTAATTGGGTTAAGATTAGAAAAAAGTGAAGAGAACAAAAGTTGCTTAGAATTTCACCTTGCAAAATTCGGAACCAAAAGATTAGCCCAAAAATGGGTCAATTTGGTTTATCAAGAATTACGCTAAAACTACCAAGGTTAATTGATGAGCAAATTTTTAACAAATGAAGCCTCTTACACAGCCCAACAAAGTTCTATAAGAGTAAAAAATCCTTATAAAAGAAAGTTGCTTGTTAGTCAAAAAAGGTCAATTTTACTTTACAAAACTCAAAAACTTTGCTTAAAAATAAATTTTATGTTTTGTGCCCAAGTTTCCTGTAAACCATGCTCAAACGTTTTTGGGCTGTGAAAGAGGCTTCTTTCGATATGACTTTGTCATCAATTAACAAAAAACATGATGATGCAAAAACATGCACAATGATAACTCTGGTGAAACTCTAAGCTACTTTTGATCTGTTCACTGTATGTTTAATCTTATCCCAATTAGATTAAACCGGTTAATTTAAATAATTTAATACAGTTTTGTCCGGTTAATTTAAATCAGCACTGTATTGAGTGGCTAAAAATTTTATGAACGGTGTGTTAAATGCTCGTATAGTAAATACTAACATGGGTGGTCGGAACAATAATAAAAAAAATTGTTTTGTGAGTTCTTTTAACTACTAGTTATTTTCAGTGCTTCTCTTCCACGACTTGAAACTGACGCTGCAAGCCGTAGTGCTGATGTACATGCTAACATACGTGGGAGCATCCCTCAACCTCCTCTCACTCCTCACCATTGCCTTGTGTGTCCTCCTGTTCCTAACTCCAATCTACGACAGACGACAAAAACAGATCCACGTAATATGTCGAGCGACAGTGTCGAAGGCCTACGCGAGAGGAAACCACTTTTGGCAGTCGAATCTAAAACCGAAGTTGCTTGAGAATTTCAAGAAATTGCCTCCGGTTATCAGGGATCCCTTGGCTAAGTTTATCCCACCGCAAGCTCAATCAGAGGGCGCGAAAGATAAGAAGCAATAAATTAGAAGAACTAATTGAATATGAAAAGCGTCAAAGTTTCGGAAAAGGAAAAAAGCGAGAGAAATTGTGTGGTAGAAAGAACAGAACATAAAATAAACATTACTTTCATCGTTTGTTTGATTTGACTGATTTGCTTGGATTTGTTTCGATTCCACATCCACTCGTGCTAGCAAGAATATCATGTAAGATGTAGATAACTTAACTAAACTTATTTCATAACGCTTTTTACATACTATACTCTAGGAAATGTAGAACACAACTCGAAAGGATTTCACCACAACACTATTGAAATAGTTTTAAGAGCAGCGATGAGTCTAACACCTTTGCATATCATTTTTCAATGTTAGCCATGTTTGTTTCGCATTTATCACCTTGCGATAAGCAATGTTGTTGCAACCTGGTACTAGACTTTTTCCCCCATTACCAACATTGTTCAAGATTTCGCAGATATTTCATCTTGCTTCATAATAAATTCAAAATCAATCAACCATCCAGCACATCTGGCGTAGAGGTAACACACCTGCTTGAGACAGCAAAGACTTATGTTTTCGTTTTTCTTGAACCGGTGTTTCGTTTTTCTGGTTCGGTATAATTTAGTTTTTTTTTTTTTTTTTTTTTTTTTTCATTTTTTTACCCGGCCTAAAAGTTATCTCAGTTGATATCTAACCGGCTTAGTTGAATCATACTCCATCGTTGAATGAGCGAAACATTATACATTCGCGTGTTGGTGTTTTGAGGTGGTAATTTAATATTTTTGAAATTTCAAAAGTTTTTTTTTGTGATAAACTTCTTTACTCAACGGGTGCCTGATCAAAAATTTTCATTTGTATTTTTGGATTGTTTTTTTAAAGTGAGCTTTATTCAAATCAAAGATATGAAAATTTGGGTAGATTAAGCTTTTCTCGACGTCTCAGAACTTTTTTTCTGGCTGAGGGATTTTCGTTTCACTTTTTGTCTGCTGGTTTGCCATGCTGTTTGTGTTGAATCGAATCGCAAGTGGTGCGAAGCTTCGCCTCTTTTAGTAATTTACGTCGTACATTTTTTGTGTACAAGCATTAGGCAGATCTATGTATATCCAGAGTAAGTCTTTTTTATTGATAAGCACTTTCTGTCTCGTGCGCAATGCACGCATCATGTATTGCTTTCGCAAATCTGGAAAGCAAAGCATTCATAAAACTTTTTTAAAATGCCTACTTTTTAGATTGAGTATAAATTTGCAGGTTGTCCAAACTTAATTGTTATCTTGATGCACCCTATCTATTGAAGTTAAACCGATCAGAGTTTTCATTGAACTTGGTTCATGCCAGCTGAAAAGAAATGAATAGGCACGGGATTTTCTTTCTTTTCTTAAAGCAAGTCATGAACAAACGAAAAGATTTTAAATTGTGTCTAGTCGCACGGTGAAGTTTAATTCGAATCAAATGGCATGAACAAAGCAAAGTGCATTGAAACTTCTATTTTAATACAATTGACTGAATCCATGGTAAGTTCAATTGATCAGTGACTGTTTTCTTTGAACTTAACTTATGTCATTTGTCAAGAAAGGAATCGATAAACACACGAAAAGTTGTAAATTCGGTATCTAGTCGCACAGAGAAACTTGATTCTCGTCAAATTGCATGAACAACCAGTCTCTGGTCATTTAATTCTACATGTATTTAAGTCAAAAGCGTTAAAAACTGAAAGCTAGACAATCTGCAAATTAAGGCAGCATCAAAAACGACGAGTATGTTGGGTTATAGCCCCCTACATGATTATTTACACGTATTAACTTTTCCATTATCAACTTTTTAAATAAAAAGTTCTTGAAATTGACCTTAATTTTTTGGATCCTCTTCATCCCTCAGGCTCCTCCTCCTCTGGGCTAAAGCTGGACAAATGATGCTTTTTCACTATCTAAATCTAATATTTTTGCCATAATCTACAGCATCTGCAGATTTTCATCTATTTGACCCGTCTGAAAACGCCTCGAGAATAAATTTTACCATATTTTTTTAATTTCGTTTATTTATGTCACCGTGGTCGGAATAGCATGTGATTCTTGCTAAGCAGCCGGTTACCCTTGTTTTTTTGTGTTTTTTCTCGATATGTCTTTAGGCTAACAGTAAGTAGCATTCGCGTTTTCATTTCGTTTTTTTTAAATAATTTTTGTGATGAGTTTATTCTGTCTGTAAAAGACTTTTTGTCTAAAATGAGAAATGAATGAAGTTAGTTCAAGCAATTCTTGTAATCAATGGGTGCATTAAAAGTGCAGTAGCTTGAGGAAAATACCTAATCATAATACTATTTATGTTTGTACAACATGAAATAATCCTTCCAGTTATCACTCAAATGAGAATGCTACTCTACCGATTAATCAAATTGAAACCCTGAGTACTGTCAAAGAGTTCTGCTATCTGGGTGATATGATTTCCGTTGAAAGTTACGCAATAAGTGCATCATCGGTCAGAATAGCAGCTTTCTGGAAGAAATGGCGGTAAATTGCGCCTCTACTGCTGAATAAAGATATTGACTTGATTACAAGGTGTCATATATACGGAGCTTGTGTCCGGTCAAATCTGATGTACTGCTCTGAAACTTGGGCGCAGACCAAGGCAACATTCAGCTCTCTTGAAAACTCAGATATGAAAGCTGCTCGTGAGACACTTATAAAGACAGAAATACCAACGAAACAGTAATTAAAATGACAGGTGTTATTGATCTGGACAAGCTACAAGTGCGGGCGCGACTACGATGGTGTGGTCATGTTGACCGGAGAGAAATTGACCATGCGCTAAAATCAACAGAACATGTTTCAGTCCCAGGGAAAACGCTGGATCGATTGTGTTAAACAAAACCTGAATATTTCAGGCCTCAAATCCACAGACTGCCGTGATCGAATGGCATGGAAAAACGTGTTACCCTGCATTTGATGGGTTGAATGCTACTCAGAATGCCATCATCTATTAATTGCTTACGCGCTTTCCGGACGTGCAACCCCTCCACAATGGGAAAACGGACAAACGCATTAGTAGTAGTAATATTAGTTAGTTCAAGCAAAGGCGCTGTGTGACAAGTTTGCTAACCTTTGTGATTTTTAATCTCCTGAAATTCTGCAAAATCGTTTTGTCGAAACTTCAACTTAGAAGTACAAACAAATGTTATATAATCTGAGTTAATAAGAGCATTAGAAATACTAACCAGAATCATTCAGAGTTGATCATTGCAGAAATTGTTCCAGAAACTTGAGTATAAAACGCTGTGACTTAGTGTTTAAGCAAACTGATTCTAGGAAAATTGATTTTTCAATCCACAGTATGAGGTTTTTTTTGTTTTTAGAATTTTTTTGCGTTTTCTTGAACTTCTCTTTTGACGTGGTCAAAGCTCTTTTTGTCTATTTTTCTTCAGTGTTTGCGAAGTGTGAAAACTTCTGTTTCGGAAAAGAGTTTATAACAGCTCATTTGTGCAGAAAATGCGAACCAAGAAGAAAAGTGTAGAAACAGGAGCACAGTTATTCTTAGTTCATAAAAGTCCTGTCATTTTTTCGAGTTATGAACGTAGTGAAAACTTTTAAATAGGTTTTTATGATAATTTTTTTTGGAAAAGTCTTTCAAGTTTGTTGACGCTAAAATTTGATTTTTAGTGGTTTGACTTTTGATGAGTTTTAAGTTCATTTCGTTTGTTAAAAATAAGGCAAACTTCACTATCGAACAGCGAAAGTGTAAAGTTCACGAAAAAGTAATTGACTTCTGATTTCGAAAATGGAATTTAATTATCCGAAAAATGCCAGTCATAAGTTATTCTAGAATAGCTAGAGTTGTGATTTTCCAAAAAAAGTCAGTTTTTATTTGTTTCCTTGCGTTCATGACTCTTTTCCAACTGTCTGTTGACTATGCTTAATTTTTCACATAAAGTAAAAAAAAGTTATGTTCTTTTGATTTTGCCTGCGGGTTAAAACATAAATATTCTGAATATAGAGGCGTTAGCTTTCGTCTGGTTATCCGTGTATAGTTTTCTGCTGATCGGTTCTTCGAAGAAGCGGTATTCTCATATAGCCACAGTTCCAAGGTTGCAAACAAATGTTTTGAACTTAAATGGAAGATGCTGAAACTCTCCCTTAATTCTTTCTACGTTCTGAATAGGGATTTTTAAGGCCTTGTTTTTATCTGGCTAGGCCACTTCGAGCGCTGAGCACTAGAAGGTTGTTTTAACTCGTTATACTAAAAGAAGGCTGTCAGAAGGTAGGTTGCCAGAATTCGTTGTACTATTGATGCTGGAAAAATAAAACTGTTGATAGAATGTTTTAGTTTTTTTGTTATTATGGAAAAATGTTTTCACTCGTACGATTAGCAAGCGTTATCAAACTGGAATATAGACATTTTTCGGGCTAACAACTAGCTTAACAAAATCAGTTGAATCAGTTAGCTCGGCTGTTCTTATAGCAACAGAATAGAGTGCCTGCAACAGATCATTTTTGAGCATGTCTGCCTTTTAAATGGCCGTTCCATTCGAATTTTTATTATTGGTATAAATCAACTCGTGTTTTAGTTTTATTTTTTTTCGCTCATTCGTTTTTTTTCGGTTTGAATGGTTTCGGCTGATGCATTTCTGTTTAGTTCTTGATCATTCGTCGTTAGAAGCACCAAAATTTTCAAATTGATTTTCTGCTTACGGAAGGGTTAGTGTGGGGGAGGCGTAAACTTTAGGCATTTTTTCGGCTCAAAATGTTTTAAAGCTCAATTTTGATTTTTTTTTCGGCTCAACAGCAGTCTGCCCAAACTTTGTCTGCTCGGTATTCGCTTGATAAGTTTTTTAATGTTTATTTAATACTGGCAGTTGTGTTTCTCAGTATTTTCCCTTTTTGTATCAGGGTTCGAGACAAACATTAAGCAAGCAATTTTTCGAATGATTTTTAAACTTTTTTTTATTCAGCTTGGGTATGTTTTTTGGGCTGGCTTTTATGTGTTGCACTTGATTATGCATGATGCAGCCGGTTGGTTGAATGGATTGTCTAAGTTTGGCCATGACGAATGAGAGCGTGTTATGGTCTCCGCTGTCGTGTTGGCTCACTTTTATTTACCGCTTATTCTCCTATTAGTTGATTTTAGAGTAGCTTCTACGTACAAAAATACATCGAATTTAAGTAGGGCAATATAATTATGAAGATAATTTATGATTGATTCGCATTTTACCTGCATAAATTAAGGAAACATTTAGCAGTCATTATAATATCAAC